ATCCAAAAGCCTCCAAAAGCATCAAATCTCAATGGAAATCTCCAAATGTTTGATAGAAATCTCAATCCAAAAGCCTGTAAGATAAGCAAATCCCAGCAAACTCAAAAGGGAAAAAGAAAACTATAACAATAAACAATATCCCACTACAACTACCCCTCCCCCAAAAAAAAGACATTATTCTGGGGGCCTTTATAAATCTGTGCAGGAAAAAAAGTGACATTATTCTAGGGTCGTTTATAAATCAAAGGTCAACATTATGGGACAAGAAAGTCCAACTTCCTCGACTAGGAAGGCAAGCGTCTCAGCTGGGTCAAGCACAGGGATGGTGAGCCTCCTCACCTGCATGTAGGTGCATCCTAAAAAAACTTGGACCACCGGACTTGCAGGGATCCTTTAAAAGACTACCCCATGGCCTGCTATATATGATCCACGCATGAGGCATATAAATCCCTGCGATGTGTGTTCGGGTTCGTAGTCCCGTGTCTCGTGGTCCATCGGGGGCGTGGCTGGGGAGACGGAGAACGGTGGGACTCCGGTTTTCGAATGGATCATTAATTGGTGCCTGGCTAGATGAGCAACGTCATGATAAACATGCTAAAGAATTTAAGGTATATATTGGGGACAGCTTGGCGAAAGGTTTGGAGAAAGGATATTTGAAATTCATGATGAATTTTGTTGCGAAAGGGTTGGCAAAAGAGGTTTTCAGTACTAAAGCACATCATTCCAACCAGGGGAAAGGTTGGGGAAAGGTTCGCGAAGATGTGGTTGCAGAATTAATAATTTCCCTTTGCCTTTGCTGATAAGTCCAAAGCTCAGGCAGCATAGCGTTTTAAAATGACCCAGTAAAATAGCTCATTCAGAAACTCTGCGAAAGGGGTATCGAAAGAGGTTGTTGGGTGAAGTGGGTCAGCAAATTTGTTAAAAACATGCAGCCTCAAAAGCCTTGCGAAGGGATTGGAGAATTTAATCATGATCATGATTAATTTACTGGCCATGGTTTTTGACACCACTCGACTCAGATAGTGATACAGGGCCCCTTCTAACCTTTTTCCTGTCGGACCCCTCGTCCCACGGTCATTCGCCCTGGTGGGTCTCAATGTCAGGCTGGGTTTGGTGGGTGGGTGGTGTGAGTGGGTTACGATCCGACGTGGTGGTGGATCAGGTAAAAGGGCCAGGTTTTACTGGCTGGGTTTGGTGGGTGGGTGGTGTGAGTGGGTTACCATCCGGTGGTGGTTGATCCCTCGAACCAGCATGCATGATGGTACTCTATAGGGCCCTTTTCTACGTAGGTGTTTAATCCGTGCACATGCACGTGTACAGGGAAGGTGAACACCAGGAGTGTCAGCAGCAGAAGGAACACCCTTATAAGAACCCTCGATCAGGTATGATGCAGAAGTCTGTCACATAAGTCAGGCCTTATATAGAGATCCCAACAGAACCACCCAAAAAAATTGGAAGGTGATGATATCGGTGCACAAGTCGAACCAAGCCACCCGAGCCCTAAAACCAGACCTGATCGATGGTTCTGGGTGGGAGTGGGTGGGATTGGGGTGGGGTGGGAGTCGATCGAAACCAAGTCGTCGGTGGGATATTGGGGCAGGGTGGGAGTCGATCGAAAACCAAGACTGATCGATGGTTAACATGGGTGGGAGTCGAACCAAGCCACCGGTACCATCATCCTGCAGGGATTTTGATCCCTCAGCCCTATAACCAGACCTGATGGATGGTTCTGGGTGGGAGTGGGTGGGGTGGGGTCGATGGAAACCAAGACCAATCGATGGTTCTGGGTGGGAGATTTTGATTTTGAGATCATGCCAAAACCTCATCTGGCAAGGTTTTACCTGTATGCAAAAAATAACTACTCCAGGCCTGGGGTAGTTCAACATTTAAGACATGTCGTGGTTGATAGCTGGCCGGATCTTACACGAACATCCCCCAACACCATTAATGGCCATTGTGGTGGGTTGGATGCACCTTGTGTCCCTCGCCGTCGATCACACCCTCCGTGTCCCGCGGTCGATCGTCGCCGTCGATCGTTACCCTCTATCTAGCTGTGGTTTCTAGATTCGATGGCATGTTTGTGGGCCTCCTTTTGGTCTGGGGGTGTGGATGGAACAAATCTATAACCCTCGAGCTCGGGTATAAAGATCAAAAAACTATTTTAGCTCCATGTGCCATCTGCTTCTTGAAGCCACAGATCTCGATGACTTGACTTGTTGGTAGTTCGGGGTTCTACAGCCGCTCTGTAGTTGGGCCATGTATGGAAGGACATGATCGGCCACTTGTACAGGGCTGATCAGAATGAAAATAGTGTAGCTGACACGGGTCTTCACGGATCATTCGATAAGGCCATATGGAGGTCACAGGCTAGCTAGTGACATCAAAGCCCCAAAACACCATGATCACCAGGCATGGTATTTTTATACGGATCCGGAGTCATGAACTCTGGATTTTTAGTCAGCCTCCGGGGGATCTCCAGAAACACCTCCCCATAGTTGTGTCTGGGCCGTGGGTCGTGGGTTGCTGGTGGAACCGGGTCCACCCACGAATCCGAATCTCCTCAGCATATTGCAGAATCAAGTTGCCAAAGGCAGCTGAAGATAGTGCAAAAGTCACGAGATCTATTCCACTCCGAAAAACCACCCAGCATCGAGACAGGTCTTGATGAACAACCCTGAGAATCCTGCAAATGAAGGTGCAAGTTTTCTTCTACCGTCAATTTTGCAAAGATCGTGCTAGTGATGGCCTCCAACCTACTAGCGATGGCCTTCAACCTTATAAGTGGTGGCCTCCAACCAAATAGCGATGGCCAGGCGATGCCCCCAACCTACTAGCAATGGCCGCCAACCTACTAGCAATGGCCCCCAACCTACTAGCGATGGCCTATATATAATAGCGATGGCTTCCACCCTCATAGCCATGGCCTCCTAGAACAAGCAGCTCTAGAAGCACCACTCAAAAATTTCATGTCCTTGGAAGCCAAACTGAAGCTCTCCATTGCAGAAGATATCGTAGCCTCCTAATTTCAACATGAGCAGGAGTCTAAACCCTAGGTAGTAGTTGCATGGGAGCACCTGCTGGATGCCGAGGAGCTCCGTCGCAGATCCGCTCGAGATACCGCTGAATGAAGGCTGAACCAGTTGAAGGATCTTCGTCATCACCTGGCCCAAGTTCCCACAACAGGGTCAAAGACCTAGTACAAAACCTCCACCCGATGAGGTAAAGGACCAGATTGTCTTTGGACTTGTAGGGGGAGTAACAAATTTCACATGTCCGATGTGAGTTCAATCAAAGACGACTTGAGTTTACCTGCCCTACAAGTCAAAGACCTCGTGACCTCGTGTTCACTGAAAGTTGGAATGGGGTAAACTCAAGTCTCTAGATGTTCACTGAAGTTGGACTGGTGTAAACTCAAGTCTCTATAGACTTCACACACCAGGGTGGACCTGAAAACTCACTCGTACCTGGGAGACTCGCAGGTCAGTCACCCATTATGATCGAACAAGCTCTTGGCATTTGAGACATGGTCTCCAACTGGATCCTGTGGTTCAGGTGGTTGGGGTGGAGTGTTTGGGATGACAGGACCCCTTGATCAATCCCTCTTTCTCAGAAGATGGCCCCTTCCCATCCACCGCATCCACCGCACCGTCGACGACATCGATCGGGTCCGGAGCGATCAGGTGGCTCGCCGCCACGCGTCGATCGAGGGCGTCGGATGTCAGGGAGGTCGCCCCAAAAGTGAAGAGAATTCCCTAGCCCTCCAGGTCAAATGGTCCCTTAAAACTAGATTATATGCTTTCCAATTCAAATCGATGTTTTTGAAAAACTAGATCTAATATAAGTTCAGGCAAAGATCCATGAGATAACAGGGGCACCTGCTGGAAAAAAGGCTCTAGATCCAAGACACTTTGCCCTTCGAAATCATCTTGAGGTATCTCTTCTCCTGAGTTCACAGGTTCCCAAGACCTGTACATATACCAGCAGGTAATTGGAATATGGCTTCACTAAACTATAATAGCTCCCCTCTCATCAAAAGGGTCCAAGCGTCTGGGATGTTCTCGAGCTTCGCCAGCTCTTCAAACCTCACCGCCCTCCCATCATCCTCCAAGCGGTCTCTGTAGAACACCTGACCAGTTGATGATCTCATATGGTTGATGGTCTCACTTGCTGAGTGTCTTTGGATACTTCAGCAAATTCCACCAGGATCTTCTCCCTGGGTTTGGAATCGGGCATGGTGCCCACCCAAGCCCACCCAGTTTGAGCCCACAACTCGCAGCTGGGCAGGTGATCAAGCAGTGCACCCAGCACACCCAAACCCTCCACGGGTAAACATGCCGTCCCACCTTCTCCTCGAATGCTCCTCAGAGAAGCCCTTCGAAGAGCCAATGACCGCTTCATGGCTCCCACTGGGCCATCCAGTACATGAACATCTAATGGTTTATGATGCTTGTTCATCGAGTCTTTGACCACTACATTGACGGCTCTTGGGATTGATGCTAATCCAGTGTAAATCCACGTGAAATGACCTCCTGGAGCCATGGAAAAGACATGAAAAGACCGCAATGGTCGGAATGACTCCAAGTACCTAGAAGTCATTAGAAAGTAAATGGAAGTAATGAAATCTGTTTTTCTAATGATCTAGTTTTACGAGACCATCGACCTGGAGGGAAAGTGATTAGACATTAACAAAATCAAAGCCAACAGAGTCACACAAAATCAGCAAAACGCACAAAGCATTGGCGGAAGCAAGTCGTGAGTATAACTTATAACAGATCATAGACCGGTTTTTGACACCGCTCATGTGGCAGAGTGAGGCCAACTGCGGGTTGGTGCGGATGATCGGGTCCCAGTGCGTCTAGATCTTTAGACTTTCTGCTTATAGACCTCACACACACACTGTTTGGGGTCTCTTGCCGGGATAATTACCTTTTTTAAGCACTACCACCGCCAGAGGGAAAATGGTTCTGGCTGCATTTATTTTTTGCAAAACAATGTGGCACTGCATGGCGTGAATACCTTAACATTATCGTAGGAACCTCTAGTGTGACCACACTGTTTGGGGAATAAACATAAACAAGATAAGTTAACATAAGTCTTGATGAAAAAACAACACACCAAAAACCAAATCCGTCCATCCGCCCGAATTGGTGAACGGTCTCCTTGAGTCAATGCAGCCGAGGCGTGGAGTACATCGGCCAGTTTGTTGCCAACAAGCAGGGAGGCACAGGGTCGATGCCGCACAGCATGCCGCACAGAATGGCCAAGAGAGTTGCCAGGTGAAGAAAGGGCCACTCGGTGATGGGCTGGGAAGAGATAATCAGACAACCCTGTTTGGAAGAACAGGTGGGAAGTCCTGAAAGAGGTGAAGCAAACGGTTAGTTCGTTTTTCGAGGTGAGTCCCCGTGCAACACCGATTCCGCAGGCCTGGCACACCCGGCCTCGTTTCGTTCGAAGCACTGAGGCGGGAAGGCTACGGCACAATGACTTGGATGAGCGGCAGGTGAGGGGCATTGAAGGAGACTTGGCGGGTTCAAAGGGAAATGTTTAGTGGAGAATTACAGGCTGTATAGGCCTTTCCCTCCTTCGCCAGGGCTATGGGATCAATGAGTCAGTTTAAAGCATCAAGTAGGAAGTTCACATGCACCAGCATGAAGCATGCTTTGCCTGTAGTATTAACGGGTGTAGGGATGCTAAAACAATTGAAATGGAGCTTGAGAACATGTGGCAGGTGGAAAAAATATTCTGGCCAGTGGAAGGATGGCATGCAGAACGAGATAGGCACTGCGGCGTGTGCGGCACATGCACGCGCATGCGGCGTGCGGAGGAATGAACCCAAACAGCCACTGATGTTCCCGTGGCACATCTGCAACTTCAGTCTTATGCAGTTTTGTGCACGGAACTTCCTGTAGTTTACATGGATTTCACGGACATTCACGCCGCGAGGTGTCTTGGTGGATCACAACGACCAGGACATGTGGAGATGGTTTTGGGTGCGGAGACATTCGGTGCCGAAGTTCATGAGATTGTGACTTGCAAGCTCGATGAGATCCACTCACTCCGATTCATGTAGCGATGTCCCACGCGCTTTTCCTTGACGCACGAGGACCATTTGGAAAATGACCCTCACAGCCACAAATGGGCTGCTTTTTGGTAGGAGCGGCAAGGCTAACTAGGGCCATGTAACCATGTCCATTCGACCGCCTTTCCCACATTCCAACGCCCAGCAGTGAACGGTCATTTTGGGGCGGGCCTTCATCTAGCGAATCTGAGGCTTCCTTGATCAAGCGAACCCGATGTCATTGGTGGCCTTGAGAGTCCCAAAGTCGTCTGCTCAGGAGTTCAAAGGCTATTTCAAGATGGGCAAGTTAGACTATTGGATCGACGATCGCTAGGCCAGGCTGCGGGGTTCACCGCGGTGAACCGCGGACCGTGTCGTGTGGTGTTGGGGCAGAACACCCCGAAGCTGAACGAACTGCGAGGTGTTGAAGAGCCCTGTTTCAGCTGGAGCGGTTGTGTCGGGATTCACAGACCTGGTCCTGGATGTGGAACTTAATTCATCAGGCGGTCGAGTGTCAGGAGATCATCGAGTGTCGATTTAGGAGAAACGATTCCAATCCCAAAGGCTAGCGGTTCAGAAGCGGTATCAAAAACGCAGACACTGCGATGAAAACTCCTATCGAAGCGAAATGAATGGAACATGCTTTCAGAAAGATCCCGTTTCATTTATATACATTGATTCTCCCTCAGAAGCCGGACCCCTTAACCCTTGTTACTAGTTACTAGTTAATTACTAGTAGCTCCTTGCTCCAAGTAGCGATGGCCTCCACCCTAGTATAGAGCTTATAGAGGGTTTTGAGGTTTGGTTAGGGTCCGGACCCCTGCGAAGGTGAGTCGAAACGGGTGGCCTGACTGGAGCTCGGCGAATCGATTTCGCCTGTGGATGGCTGCGCGGAGCCGCGGGAACTGGAACGGAGCAAACTCGGATGATGTATCCGATCATGCTGACATGCAACATACCAGGACCCTCCTGTCGGGGTGCCCTGTCTGGAAGCCTATAGGTAGTGTGTAGTCCATTGGACGCCCCGACAGGAGGGTCCAGGTATATGGTTAATCATGGAAACATGTGGTGCTTTGCGGGCTCTTTTCTTTGGGTCATGGATGTTTTCAGTCTCATGAGCTCGACCTCATACCTTGCCTTGAAAAATGCCATTGCATTGCGGTGTCTTTTCCCAAAGACAGTTTTTTGTTGAGAAAAGGTACGCGATTTTAGGCGTCCAATCGGTGTTTTTCCACGTCCATGGATTTTGAGATATTTTGAGCATATATTTGCAACCCCTAGCTAAATGGCAATTGTTTTTACGCTTAGGGCATCTTTTCAAAGAAAAATGCCTAAAACGTTGTGCCGGTCTTACGCAGTGTTGGCTCTGTCTGCTTCCGTCGTCGAACGACTATCCAATCTTTGGCTTCCAAGCTACCACTACTTGACGCTGTGACGCGGAAAACACGTCTCCCCACTGGGTCCAACGGATGTGTCGTTCATATCTTGGTGTTGGAAACGGTTGAATACACCAGTGCATCTGGTTTCTACCACGTTTATTCAGCCATATTCAACCCTTTACACCAATATGAGGCAAGCAGAGCAATTTGACAATTTGTGTCAAGAGTCTCTACCCTGGACATGTCACAAACCGACCCAAATGTCCTAAGCGAACATGTATACTCTGTTTGTTTTTCGGGGTGTTCACCAAGCTAGGATGCAAGAACATCACGTGTGAAAACGCTCTTCACGAGCTGACTTGCGGTGACTTCCACAGCATCCCTTCCGCAGCGGCATGCACGACGGGCACTGTTGCTGGAAGCAGTTGGGTTGGGTTGGCGAATCAGAAGCGGTTTTGTAGATGTCTCTGGTCCGAATTTTGGGCATGTCCAGTTGGCAAGCGGGGCTACCAGTTCCTTTCGATAGCCATCATGGGGACAGCAATAAGAGTGCTTGGAGTGCTTGGATTCGTCGGAAGACCATGAACAGAGCACCACGCGGACAGAGTGCTTGCCCCCATAGGTGTTGCTTTTAAAGGCCTTGTAAAAAGGAACGGAGGAGTCCCCTTCCAGATGTTCAGTTCACTAGGGTTGGAGAAACGCTTCTTTGAACATGTTGCGATTTCATGGGTCACGCCATGTCATGTGACGACCGGAAGACCGGTGCTTCAAGAACACGACCGGTGCTAAGAATCTCCAATCTCCCAGTCTTAGAGCCTGTACAAAGAATGTACAAAAAACGACATCGACCGCAGCCCATGGAGCCCTTCCGTGCAAAGACCTGGCGAGCTGTTCCGTGAGATGACTGCCGTGCTGGTCCGTGTGTGTTTATATACTGCAGACCGTAGACCCCTTCGGGATTGAGAACAAGGTCCAATTTTACATGTTTTTTTCAGTCCGTGGGTGGGTAAAGGTAGTAAAGGAGCCAATTTAAGGATGCTGCACGAAGCTTTCCTCATCATCATCATCATCATCATCATCATCATCATCATCATCATCATC